TATATATATATCTGTCATGATTCTTCACTCTTAAAGACTTTGACTTGTATTTCTAAGACTAGGGACATCCTCTTTATAACAATAGTGTCAATTTTGACATAGAACATTTTAACAAATTTTGACAAATTTAACATTGCTATAATAAATATATCTAATCTTCCTTCCCTATTCCAATCTTGTTAATTGACCCATTATACCATTAGTCTATGCCATTATCCTTTATACCATTACTATTCCTTCTAGTTCAAGATCCAGTCTAGTATCAGGAGCTGCATTTAGTTGACATCTCTCTAGATTAAAAAAAAATAAATAGAACATCAGTTTAAATCCTAATGATAGCATCTTCAGAATACGATCTAAGTGAATTAGGCATTATATACAGGATGTCCATTGAGTGTGAAAACAGAAACAACAACATTGAATGGCTTGTTGATGCCACATTTGGTGCCTGACCTGTGTGATGGCATTGTGTGATATGCCTAGGTGTGTTGTCCCACTCAGCAGTGCGAAGTGTGCTGTGTAAAACTGCAGTGAACCCAGGGTATCGACCAGCATCTCCATCAGCACCTGCCTGAACATCTGGGGCATGTGGCCACTGAGACTTTCCATCTCTGATTTTCACTGAAAAAACCCACGTCTCTAGCACAACCGAGAGTAAATGATGTAAAGATTTAATCTGTAAAAGAGAAGGAAAATAAAGTTTAGCTATGTTCCCAGAGTTTATGGCCTATGTATAAGAAAACTCTTACAATATGTTTCAAATCTTAGGATAAGAAGTTTCAAAAGTTTGAAGCAATAACAATGAAAATGTTAATTTTCTACAGTAAAAGATAAGTAGAATGGAGAAAAGATTTCAACCAAATATGACAATAATTAAAGTGATGATATAAAGAAGTTCTTAAATTGACCAGAATAATATGAAAATCTCAATAGAGAAAATGATAAAGAGTAGAAAGTACCACTTTATGCATAGGAAAATAAGTTTATTCCACTAATGTTAAACCTCATTTTCAATAAAATGCACATAAGCAAAGATATATAATAAACATCATATATATGTACACAAACATGAGGAAGAGGAAATAGAGCTATATAAGAGTAACATTATTATATCACACTGGAGATAAGTTAGTATCAGTTTGAAGTGTATTCTGATAAGCCTTGGAGAAACCACAATGGAAATAACTCAGAAAAAGTATAGAGGAAAAA